ACCTGATCTGGGATAACCTCATGCCTGCAACCAAACACTACCCTTCTTCGCAATCAGCGCCAGCAAGGACCACAATCTGCCGCCGTCAACAAATACACAAGGATCCGAGACCTCCACAAGGTGAAGCCCCAACCACAAATCAATTAACGGCCAAAGGAAGACAACGAAGCCGTTGCAAAGCTCTCTGCTGCGGCATCGAACCACACTGAGTTCCAAACGAAGCCACCGACCACAAAATCAGTCACAACGGTGACTACACACAACAACCACCGGCGTCAGCAAACGGAGAGATCTTCACACTGCAAACTCCTCGCCGACAGTCCAGGAATGGTCTTCGATGAAGGAAAAGAAAAAAAAACGCGTCCAAGAGTGGCCGGATTGACGACGAACGATCGACGACGAATAGCGATCCCTTCACGAGCTAGTACACACCCTAGCACTGTGGTAGCAATGTCAATGGCCGGATCTACGCTCTGATACCATGTTAAATTTATAGATTATAGAGAGAGAGATAGTAGAATGAGAGAGTAGAGATGGCTGAGAGAGAGAGAAGCGCAGCCCCTTTTCTTCATATTTTAAAAACCCTTACACATAACACAAATATATATACAATACAAGAAAGACTTATTTACATAATGGCCACAAACCCTATGTCTAATTACAATATGACCCCAACATAAATACCTATTTACATATAACTGTTCTAACAGAAAAAAATGAGAGAATTGTGTAAAGACTTAAATGAGATTAATCACTCATTCATAGCTCTAGTATTTATAAATAAAGAGAGCACATGCTCATATTACAAGAAAGGAAATTAAAGAAAGGAATCTAAATCAAATCAAAGCATATTTTATGGCATATTCTATAGTATAATCAAATCTCTATTAATATTATAAGGCATTCCATAAATCGTGATTATCATATCTACTAACACTCCCCCTCAAGTTGGTGCGTGGATATCTGAAACGCCTAACTTGGACAATGCATTCTCAAACACAATCTTGCTGACGCCCTTTGTAAGAATGTCGACAAGCTGCTGAGAGCTTGTGACAAATCGAGTGCAAATTTGACTAGCGATGATTTTCTCTTGGATGAAGTGCCGATCAACAAATCAAAAATGTCTCCTCAGACCATAAACAATTAACAATATCTCCTTAGACCATAAATAACCAATCATGTCTCCTCAGACCGTAAATAGCCAACAATGTCTCCTCAAACCATTTCCCTTCATACACATGTTTAAAACATGTAGATGGAAGAATCAACAATGTCTTTTAAGACCATTCCCCTTCATACATATGTTTAAACAACGTAGATGAAAGAATCAACAATGTCTCCTCAGACCATAAAAAGAAACAACTATGTTTCCTCAGACCATTTCTAACTGGGTGGTGCCAAACTTGCATAGCCCTTATTGAGGTCAGACTACCCTGCGTACCCGAAGCCTACCAAATGGGTGATGTTGCCTTAGACCATTCCCGAATGGGTGGTGCCGAACTCGCAATGCCCTCACTGCAGTCGGACCACTATAGCTCTGATACCAAGAAGAAATATAAAAAGAAGAAAAATGAGAGAATTGTGTAAAGACTTGAATGAGATCAATCACTCATTCATAGCTATGGTATTTATAGATAAAAAGAGCACATGGTCGTATTACTAGAAAGGAAATTAAATCAAATCTAAATCAAATCAAAGCATATTCTAAAGAATATTTTATGGCATATTCTATAGCAAAATCAAATCTCTACTAATATGGTAAGTCATTTCATAAATCGTGGCTATCATATCTGCCAACACTTAGCATTTGTCACTTCAAATGGGTTCTGGATGTCTTGATGAAGGGGACTTGATTTTCAGCTACGTGGTTGAAATTGGGAGATCGAGTAGAATGTAGAAAACTGGAAATACTGGAAACCTGTATATGGACAAGCACTGGACATGTTTACTAGAGTAAACTGCAAACTGAATTGTATATTGATTGAAATTACTGACTGAAAGTAAAATGATGAAAGCTGAACTGGATTGTGGCAACTGAAAAGTAAAGTAGTTGCCTTAAACGGCATAATTAGAATAATAGGTATTCAAATAAAGCATCTTGACTGATTTCTATGTACTGAAGAACAATGAGAGTAACCTGAGCAGAATTAAATTTCCTTTAACTAACTGAATGGGAGATTATGAGTTATGCATGCTGCTAAGGACTAAGTATAATTATGGAATTACAAACAATAATGTACTAAGCTAAGAATTACAGTTATGGAACTGTAAATGGGTAAACTAAGCTAAGGAAAAATAACAAGCAGCCTTGGAGGCCATAAAGCAATACCAACATGCAAACCTATTGCATGAAACTGGAAGGATTCGCTGATAATTGACTGGTGGAGTTTCTTTAGGATTGAGTGGTGGTGGACCTTTACCTCAGTAGCCTCTATAGTTTTTTATGGTTGCTCTATATGGTTGCTGCTGCAGACGGTTATGGACTTCATAGATAGCGGATTTTCAATTCCTCTAGGAATCAGATTTAGGTGTTGCTAACTACCATTTTGCTTGACAATTTGCCACCTTTACATTGGGGAGCTGTGCCATATGTCCTGCATTCTGCACTTAGCCACTTGGTGTCACTAATTGCCACATTACACAATCAATTGCTATATATACTGCCTAATATACTGTTGTAAGAAATACCGTTAACCAAGAACACAATCAAGAATCTAGCAGAAAAGTAAACACGCCACACAAAGAACACCAAGATTTACGTGGTCCAGCGTAAAGCCCTACGTCCGCGGTGAAGATACGGCAAAATATTTGACTCTGTGAAAAACAGGAGACTACAAGTTTCAGCCCCCAAACCCTAGCCCTCTCACTCACCTACGAATTTTAGTGTTTTCTCATGTTCCATTCCAAACCCTAAATGGCCTTGTATACTGGACTACAAGAGAGTCCTAGACAGGGTTCATGACCCGTGAGAGAAAAAACGAAGTTATTGTCATAGAAAGAGAGTCCTAAACAGGGTCCAAGATCAATTTCTTTGAAAAAGGCTCTCTTCTTACCTTTCTAAAACGGAAGTTCTTGTCACAGAATATCGGAGGTCGACTAACAGAACCACCCTCTTTCATTTGTGGCTATAAAGTTGATACACAGTTTCCAAAATCATTTTTCACAAGAATTTTTCTTAATTAAGTACGCATGCTTTGATACCAGCTTTAGCGAGCAATGGAAGCTTTGTCTTGGATTTTCAATTAGAAAGAGTATGAACTTAACTGTCTCAGAACTAAAATCATCCCTTTTTGTTTGGTTATGTTAATTAATCATTCAGTCTCAATTTTGGACCATATATACTCGAGCAACCAATCACAAAATTGTAGCATGCACAGCATCTTTTATGTAGAAAACTGAATTGAAAAAGTCATGAGACCTAGCTCAGCAAATAATACAATATATATCTGTATCACCAGCCGTTGTTTCAATTTGATGTACTGTGTTCTCGCCAGTCCAGACTCTAAATCACCATCAGCTGTTCTCTACATCAAGGCAACTGCTACTTACAATCTGCTTCTGTTAGCAACCACCACATTTCACCAAGTGCAACCCGCATTGCTTTGGAGTATAAAATATGGAAAGGTCAAAGTTGATATTGTTTTCATCTACCAAAAACCTTGTAGGTCACTAAGAGTGATTTGACACACAACAATTTTCTTTACAACAGAGAGATAAAAAAATTGCCCAAGTATTGAGAAGTGTGAAAAACTTCTGAAAGTGTATTCTTCAGTACCTAGAATGCTTATTTATAGTTTTTTTTTTTTTTTTTTTTTTTTTTTTTTTTTTTTTTTTTATCTAAGTTTTATAATGTTAACTACCATCTACTCCAAAAGCTTAAGCTATTAGAGAGGGTGTAACTTAAATATATAAATCCTTCAACACGCCCCCTCACGTGTGGCCTTCTTTTGGTCCAACACGTGTTTTCAATTTTTTAATTAGGGTGACGGTGAGGTTTGAACTCTAGACCTTTGGCTCTGATACCATGTTAACTACCGTCTACTCCAAAAGCTTAAGTTATTAGAGAGGGTGTAACTTAAATATATAAATCCCTCAACATATAACAAAAGGACTTTAAACAATTGTGGACTGATTTTTTCTGTCCAACCACCTTTTTTAAGAGGTTGATGTATTTGATACCAAGACAATCAGCCCATTACTTTAGTTCAACTAGTCCATTTGTGTCTCTTATTCCATTAATTGGACACTTGTTTAGATCAGTGGAGTAGCTACTGATGACATAAATCAATTCTCATAAAAAATTTAACCTATTGATTCCTCTCATTTGATTGGTCTAGTTGCTATTGTCCCGTTTCTGGTTTCCATATTATCAATTAAAAAGCCTAGGTCATGGAAGCATCCAACTAATCTAGTCACTCTTCACCTTTACGTGAACCGTGTGATCAATTATTCTGAATGTCAATCAAACTGAAGGTCAAGTCGATTAAGTTTTTTTTTTATTCCATCTTCAATCTCAATGTAATGGTTTGATTACTGAATGGATCAACAGATGAGTTGATACATTCAGTGATCATATATATGTATATATATTTATATAAAGAATGTATCAACAGATGAGTTTTTTTTTTTTTTTGGTCACACATCAAATATCAACTTATAGGATTGAGGCTTGGTTTTAGTTATGTTTATCATATATTTCCAACACATTTTCAAATATGGATTCCTCTTTCATGCTTCTGTTTGCAACATTGGTTGTCATTCATTTTCTCTAGAACTCGAAGTTTTGGTCTTGATTTCCATTTTAATAATCGTTAGAAAGCCTTATCTTTCTCTTTTCTTTTGTGATTTTCATATTGAGAATCGGTTATGGTTCTTTCAAATGGTCATGAAAGTGGCCTTTTTTATATCCATGTGTTTGGTCCCAGTAGTTTTTTCGTTATCTGTGGCACTGTTGTCTATGTCGGTAACTTACTTGGGAGTTTTTTTGTATGGCAGCACAGCATTTCTTATAGGCCCCAAACGGCAAGTGACAATGATGCTTGACCCTGTTCGTATTTATGCAACTGCCATGTACCTTGCAAGCCTAATAGTTGCCCTCTTTTGTGCTCTTTATGTAAGTCTTTGTTTGTCTATTTTCCCTGTTAAACGCATATGCAAAACCTCTGGGTTTCTAATGTAGTGTTATTTTTCATCAATTGTGCTGAGTAGGTCCATAACAAGCTATTGACACTTCTTGCAATTTTGTTGGAGTTTGGTGCACTTATTTGGTATGTCAAATTTCTCGTATATTTCTTCTAATTTTGCATATGTTTTGCCCATTGTTTATTTAGTGGAGGAACATCACCTGGACTGGCACGCAAGTATTGCCTGTTTAGTAAACATAATGAACAAATTTCCTGACGCGATTTTATGATCACCGCAAAAATCACCAAAGATGTTGCAAAAACACAAGGGATTTTTTTCTTACATGCAATAACGAGGCATTTTAGAAAACTCCTGAAGATAAGACGATTCTGTTTCACACTGCATGGTATCTGATCAAGTTCATCTTGAAAATTGATGAATTGTCTATTAACATAGAAATGAGAAGAATAGGTATTATAATAAATATGAGGTTTAATCCTGTACAACTGCAATCTGAAAGGCACTTACTTTGAACAAGTGTCAATGAGAGTTGGACTTGTTCAATATGTTATGGGAAGAGAATCTGTGTGATTAAAATGTTGTAAAAGCTATCGGAATGTTTAAAAACAACAGGCTTCATGTTAAAAATACAATGTAATTCAGGGGTCCTATCTCATACCAGAAACCACCCCCCACCCACCCCCCCCCGGCGCGCGGTTCTTCTCTAAAAGAATCGGCCTCAAAACGCTGAAAATTAAATTTTCTTGAGATGATATTTTCAATAATTTCGTAGAAATAGCTGTAAAACACTGCAACATGCATTTTTCTGAGAACAGAAAATAATTCTCAAGAACGATGCCAAAGAGACCCAAATTTATGTTATTCTGTGCAGGGTATTATTGTCAAGCCAAATGATATAAACAGTATCTTGAAAACATGAGCTAGAATGCTGTTTTCTTGTCCAATTTATCCTCTTTTCATCTTCTTCTTGTCCTTCTGAAAATACATTCTACAAATTTAATCTCACAATTTAAAACAGGCTTTTCAAGTTTAAATATTATTTAATGGATGAAAATGGGAAAATTTATAATCGCGATCCCTGCAGTAACATCTTTTTGAATCCATTCAATTTGAATTGGTATTTTCTCCATCACATCTTGCAACGTTCCATCTGTTTAGATTTCTTGATGTTGATGAAATCTGAGATGTTCCTCTCCAGCTCATATCCTTTCAATCTGACTTTCCTGTATTCATTGTTTTTATGACTATACTTTCATGTGCTGATCACTAACTAGAAATTGGGAAACAGTATCATTTTGGATGTTTCACTTTGATCCCTAGGTTTCGGCTAAATGAAAGCACATACTTATAAAAAAAAAAAAGTAGTCTATATAGTAGCACTTGAACCTTATATTTCGATACATGCTTCAGATTGACCCCACTTCACGGTGCTGGGAATTACAGATGTGGTGTTGCTTAATTTTACTTAGCCAACAATTTTATCATTTCTGCCAACTGTATTTAGTGTTCTGGTCAGAACTCAGAGCCAGTTATGGTTTGAACTGTGTGGTATATATTAAGAGCACATTCAGCAGAGATAGATCAAACAGCATTAAGACAAAGAGGGTGGGAAGTGAGTTGGAAAGATGATTCTGGATTCAAGACATACATTCATGCGGTTTTAGGTGGCAAGATTGGGCAGCAATGATATTGGTGATACCTCACAGGAGACAGCCAGAAATGGCCATTTGTGTGAGGAACCAGCTGGTTCCGTTGAGAATCAGGGGACTCACAGATATATCGGTTGAGTCTAGGAATAGGTGGTCCGTTGCAAACCAACCAGTTTGCCCAAACCTACCATATAGAAAATTGTACTATATATGTGTCAAATATTAATATAAAATAAGTAAACGAATACTTATTTACAGTAAGTAAATTAAATAATAACCAACACGCTAGTGGCCTAGCGGTACCAAGCCCCTACTTCTCAAAGAGAGGTCAGGGGTTCGAGCCTTAGTGGAGGCATGTGTGTATGAGTACCAACTAGGAAAATAATAATAATAATAATAAGTAAATTGAATATTAATTAATCGAATATTCCATATTTCTAAAGGGTGTCATATTATTTAATGATTCTCCAAGCTATATGGACAATGAAAAATCAAGGATCTGAATGCATGTGCATTTAGGTATGTATGCACACAAATAATTATGATGACTCCTTTCTTTTCGTGCTCACTCCGTTGATGTACAAGGATCTAAATATTTGACCTTTTTTATCAAACTTTTTTTTTTTTTTTTTTACTATAAACCATTATTTAAATTTTCCTTAGAATAATACTGTTTTTTAATGTCTGAAAAAATTCGTACTCAATGTCTATGGTTCATCAGTCACATGCTGGTCATTGTTTAAGAAGCTTTTGTGTCCAAGTATTATATATATATATATATATTGACATATATTTTTTTAATATGGTTATGTTCAAGATGTGATGCATACATGTCCTGACTCCTGAAGTGTTACAGAAATGTTGTTATTCCACATGGACACCACTCCTCAGAAGTATCCGACTTCTTGGGTAAAACTTTTAGTCACATCTTATAAACCTCAGTCCTAAGAAGTAGATGGTTCAATATAATCGACCTCAGTAGTTAGGGTTACAGCTTGATGATTTGAGTTGTTTGCGTTCATTATAAGTTAATGTGACAATAGCAAAAAGTTTCTTATTTGTGAGTTGGGATTCAAGTCCGGTGTGCAAGGGTCTATGAGGATCTTTTGTCGTGGAAATGGCGTGGCTGAAAAAAGAACTTAATGTGCATTATGGAGGTTATGGGAGTGTGGTGGCAGGGCTGTGAAGATGTTTGCCACAATGTATTCCATGCATACCATAGAGGAGTCAGAAGAAGGTATAAAAAACTTTAGGAAGGTATAAAACCTCTACACGATTGCTGTACATCTGAGGATTTAAAGCCCTCTAATGAGTATGAAGAAATTCTGCTCTCATTTCATCTTGTATGTATCATCATCCTGGCCTTTATCCCATTTAGTATCTTTGCCATTATTTTTTTATGACAAGCCGTGTATCCTATTATATTAAATTGTTTAATATCATTTCTGATTAGTTGATGCCATGTTAATTCTGGTTGGTCTCTTTGTCTACCTTTTATGCGACCTAATCTTCCTTTCTTATTGATTTTTTTACGGGCTAAGGTGTATATGTGCAAACCACCTAAGCTTGTTCTTTTTCTTCTTCTTTTTTCCCTATCAGTAATAGGTGTCACTCCTATTTTTTTCCATCACATGTTGATTATTAACCATATCTCTTCTAGTCAATCCCATAATTGAACACGATATTCTCATTTCAGCTACATGAATGTGTCGTCGTTATTTCCTTTTTAACGTTCAGTATTATGCGCCTAATAACTATTTTATAGAAGATTCCCATATCACACAGTACACCACTAGTAGCCTGTATTCCTTTTGGAGAAATTGTGATCCAACATCAGCCTGATCCAACCAGGGGCCATCAACACCGACTGCACCATCAACTTCAACACCATCTCGAACGGCCTCACCCCAGTCTTTCAACAGTATTTTCCACTAGTATATTTCCATTTTGTCCAACCTGCTCCAACTACTAATTACATCACCATGTATCTTTCCATCTTTTTGTATTATTGATGTGTAAATATCACCAATTGTTATATTTCTAGAATATATATATATATACATACATATATATATCACCGATGGTTATTTTGAGTAATCCTTTGGTCTTGAATTGTAGTTATATTGTTATTCTATGATGCTTTATTAAATTGACATTTCATTTATTTTGTTTTAGTTTTACTAATTCTTAATCCATTTGCTTCTAATGCATTTCTCCGTATTTCTAATTTTATTGCTAGGTTTTTCTTTAGAAGTATTCCAATAATACTATATCATCGAGAAACAACATGCACCAAGGAATGTCTCCAAATTTTTCATATATTACAAATAGATATGGGTCTCGCACTGACCCTTGGTGTAACTAACTTCTATAGAAGATTCACTAATTTATCCACACATATGATTCTTTTATTTTATATCACTTGTTCTATTTCATTACTCTACCATCATGATTATTTTCACAAGTCTCTCTCAAAGTTTCCTTTTGCCACATTACTAATATGATAGGTCATTTTACCATTAAATATATACATTGTCATTCCTATTTTATTGTTGTTCTTGTAATATGTTTTTCTTTAAATGTTACCCCCTAGTTATCTCCATTTTATATTTTAATATCCTTTTGTTTTTTTTTTTGTTTTTTGTTTTTTTTGTACTCATATATATCCTCTGACTAACAAGTAGGAATAAATAATAATCAATTTGTTTCTTAAAAAATGTATTCGCAATAACTAAATCATAAGCCTTTGCAAGTTGTAAGAGTGCTTGACCTTTATTTCTTTCATCAAAACCATGTCATCCATGAATTTGTGTGTATGCTGTTTGCTCATCTCCTACATGACCGATGAAGTCACCTCTTGTAAATATACCTTCACGACTTGGTATATTTTGAATCATTTCATCTTTCGTTCTCAAATGACTTTTTTGTATAATCCATGTGGGGATTAAGCACTTATTCAATTTAGAACGATTGTATATAATACACAAAATCATTATTAATCTCTCTCCTTGTTTTCTAACTTGTACAATTTTATCTATCACGTCGTAAATACTCTAGTGGTACTAAACTTACCCCATTTCTTTTCCATGTGCTCAATGTTATCATTTCTTTGTTTTTCTTAATAGGTATAGCTTGAGCTACATCCCTTTTGCAAGGTCCATGGTTTCGAAGGTCATGGTAGCTTGTTTCGATACTGAATTTTAATCTGTGCGGTTGAAAAATTAATGCCTGGGTAGACACTGATGTGAGTTTGTTATACTGATTTGGGAGGTCACTAACCCATTTTGCATCAGCTCGCCGCAATGTTGAAAGATGAAACTATACATGTATGGAAATATTTCTTCTTCTACTGTGTATACCTTCTATTTTAACTTGATGATTATGGGTTATTACCAAAAAGAAAGGGAATTTTTTTCTTTTTTACTTTTTTGGCTCTCCTTATGCTTGGGATATTGACTGGTTATGATTCTAGTAAACTGCATGAGATGCCTAATTGATAGAAACAATAGGAGGTTGGTTGGTTATAAAAAAAAAAATGTAATCTTTTTCCATAGAGATCTGTCTGATCCTCTGAGCTTCAATGAGTTTGGTTTTTTATGCCTTTGCGTCTATTTTTGTCTACTTGTGATCTCTATTATCTTCTTTCTAGAGTTTCGAGGTTTGTACTTTTAATTATCTAGGGCTAACTCATCCTGATTGAGCAGCTTATTATCTTATAAAAACTTTGGAATACACTATGACTATTCTTTGCATCATCAGAAGCAGCTTCAAAATTCATTTTGTACTTTTTCTTTTTGTCGTGATAACCACCGTTAAGATTAACATTGAAATGTGAATTAAGAAAAATCTGCGAATACTCTGGATACCCACCCATATCAGATGCGTGGAAGAAGCACTCTATATGTGCCAGACGAGTAAAGATAATTAATTATGTGTAATATTACTCACTTCAATAGAAAGAAAAAAATTGTGGTTTTAAGGAAGGAGGGAGTTGTATGAAAGAAATTTTAGGCTTAGGGTGGTTTTTTTTTTGGCCTAATTGGTACTAACACACTCTTGTCTCTTTTGAAACTTTAACCCTTGACCTCCCTTTGGGAGGTAAGAGATTGATCCCGCTAAGTCATTGTCCCTTTAGATGATTTTTTTCTTGGTGATTTGTCTAACATATATCTTTGATGGAACCTCTCCTTCAAAATCAATGGATAACATTAGTTTAAATTCAGTCACATCATTCTCTTGTACAACTTGCAATTTCAAATTCAAAAATTGATGGATAATATTAATTTAGATTCAATCACATCATTCTGTCATATAATTTCGATTTCAAAAAATATTCGCGATGACATGACTGAATCTAAACCTCACCCAAGACCCATCAAACATGTACGAGACCGATAAAAGAGCGGACCCCCCAGCATTCAAGCAAAATTCATTGTGAAAAAAGAAGCTCAACACTTTATATGTATATAAATAAAATAATAATAAAAAACCCGAGATATAAACTCAATGGAATTTTTTTCATTTGAACTACTAAAAATCTCTTGATATGAATTCAAACCTGGACTGAACCCCAACCCAACTTGTAACAAGCCGATCCTGAGCTTTCCAATTCTAAGGAGAGAGATTATGCATTTCCAAAAGAAAAAGAAAAAAATTAAGAACTTAAGTGGTAGCTGTAAATTCCTTGCATTTTACAATTCTGTGAATCTTTACAAAAATTATTCTTATGCCTAATTTCTTGCAAAGAGATGATAGTAAAAAAGTTTTACCACAAAAGGTAAGGACATACATCATGTGAATCATCTAAATTCTAAACCCCAAAGAACAAACCAAGAAGAGAAGATAAAAAAAATAAAAAACCAAGAACTATATGTAAAGCAAAATTTTCCATCAAAATAAATCAAATTTCAATTTGCAATAAATCTCATTGACAAAAAAATAAAAATAAAAACACACACACAGCATAAATATAATTTTACAGTCATCAATAACAGTGTTTACTCAACTCTTAGGTATACCTTTACCTCAATTGTCAGTAAGATGCATATTTCTCTGCTTAGTTCCAAAATCTTCCGCACTTTTGGGTGGATAAAATGACAGCAAGCAGGCCTCCTATAGCTTGATGTCATATTCACCGCAGCTGGGGTGGGGAGGAGAGAAGCAAAGCACAGTGAATATTATTTGGAGTACCACATACTAGGATTTCCTCAACTACTTCTTCATGGAAGCTTTCTTGGCAGTTTCAGCATAAATTCCGAGTTTGTCAAGGATTCTCCTCTCACTCACACGCAGCACCAAAGAATAATACAACTTCCTCTCTCTAACCCAACAACACCTCTCCAATGCTCTGATGTCATCTTCTACTGAATTTGAACCGTAGCAACTGTCCCGCATACCTGCAAGCGACCAAAGGGCATCACACACACTTCCAGTCAGCAGCAAACCCTTGCTCATTTCTGGAGCTTTTTCCATTGAAATCTCGCCTTTTTTCGATATAATAATGCCTATAGATTTGTTTGAGTTCCCCATAGTTGCATTTGCAAGGTCTAGCTGACGATATGCTTCGTCTGGCAATAAGATTATATAAAGTAAAATCAGCAACTCGACTTGTGGTTCTCCTTCGTATGAGATTTCAAAGTACTCAGAGTTCTGGCTGATACATCCAGAGTATCCTAATTTTCTCCAAAAAGACAGCCTTGATCTACTGTGACGGCCTGAAAACAGAGATGAACTCCATTTGTGTACCAGCTCTAGACCTATATTCACAATGTCATATGGATTATCTGGCTCTGTGAATCCGTATCTATGTAGCAACGCGGCATTACCCAAGGACCCGTATGTATTGAAGACCTAAAACGGGAACAGGGAACCAGAATGAGAGGACTGTCTGCCATTTTATACTAGATAAGCCTAAGACCAGAGGATACATAAGTTATACAATTTCATGTTAAATTACAGGCACATTCAACTTCAAATACAACAAAAGCCTCAAAGACAAGCAAAAAAATGCTGTACAAACCAAAAATAACATGCCATGAAAGGAAGGAAATTATTGTAAAGGTCTCAGAGACACCCCAGCCCACAAAACCACCAAAGGCAACATCAATTAAACAGGAAAAAGAAACTGTTAGTGATATAAAGAAATCCAGTTTGAAAAATATAAAGCAGTGGCACCATGCCATGAAAGAAGAGATAACATTAGAAAGGCCTCATTAATATTAGAAACGAAACTACCATGAAATGTTCAATAATCAAAAGCTTTATCACAAGAATACAAGGTCAGTTATGAACCATGCTCTACATTCCAGTATGTAAACAACTAAATTATATATAGCTTTGTTACAAGTAAAAACTGACTGCAAACCTGATGCAACCTTCCTTTTCATGTTTGTGATACCAGTAGTATCGCACTCAAATTGGTTACAGAAGTAGATATTGTTAGTTCAAAGGTTTCATAATGGCCTTAAAACAGAAACTATGCGATAATCCATTTCCAATGATATCCCCATGTAACAGTTAATCGATATCAATAACCCTTTGCTCAAAAATAAAATTAACAAATCCAAATTCAGAATCAACCGAACAAGCTCTCTGCATATTTAAATCAGAGAATTAAGGAATTTATTAAAAAAAAAAAAAGAAAAAGAAAAAGAAAAAAATAAGGTACAAACCTCAGCTCCAGCTTTGACATCTTTCACAATAATCATTTCCAGAACTGTGGGTTCATCCTCCTCCAAATTCTGATCTAATGATTCACCATCGCCAGCATTGTCATACTCATTTTTGTCCTCATCTTCTGCATCGTTGTCAGGTTCTAGGTGAGAAGACACAGTAGTGAAGTGTACATCCTCAGCTCCTGTCTTGTGATTAAAGCTGGATATCATAAAAGCAACAATTTATGAAAAAACTTTTTTATAGGAAGACATATCAAGAAATTGAAAAGGAAAGTGAAGAGAGAGAGAGACAGAGGGAGGGAAATTCAAACAACAATTTGTACAAAAAGACTCTTTAATGAATTGTTACATACATTTAGGAATAACAGAAGTCTTAAAAGATAGAAATCAGCTTTTAGAACAAAACCTCCAAAAAAAATCAAACAAACAAACAAATTAAAGCTGCAGTAAGAGAACTGTTTATTTCAAATTGAGCTACTAACAACATTACAGATTTTCTGGTCATTTTTCCTCCTCAGCATCTTCTCACCTCTCTGCAGACTTTCTGATTGTGTGATTAACTTGTTACTATAAAATTTTCAGAGAGATTCTATAAAGCAGCTAAAACACCAGACATGTTATAGGACAACATGTTGGGTAGTTAAAGGAAAAACATGTTCAAAAAAGCGCATAATTAAATAATCTATTATTGTGGCAAGGCAAGAATGGTAAAATTACAAATAGACATACTTGTGAGAAAGTAACACTAATTGGACAATTGTTTCAAAGTAAAATATTTTTATAAAAAAATATTTCCTCAAATTTTCTGGTGTTTGGTTACAATCCTCAAGAGATTTTTCAAATTCATGTCCAAAACTAAAACAAATGCAAAATATATGAACAAGCAGAAAAATAAATAAATAAAAATATAAAATATAAATAATTAGGCATTTTATCGGACACTTAGTAGTCAAAATCAGACCCACACCAGTCGTGAGTCAACTAGGGCAACTCACCATAGCATCCATTAACAGAACCTCAAAAAAATCCACCATCAAATGGCAAGCACTCCTCAGATGATCAGATACAAAGGAGCCTTCTCAGTCACCAGAACACAGCAAATATTATTAGTGGGTCACGTTGTCATTCTCAACCTTCGTCCTTTCTCAATCATCCTTACCAACACGACTGTCCAAACCCCCTTTTATTGTAGCCCTCTATTGATCACCATGGTCGGTTCCATCGCACTGTGCATCATCATCGTCATCGTCACCTGCCCTTGAATCACCCCCCGCCACCTCTATCCTCACTCATATTGAATCTCCATCTGACGACTTCGATCCAACGAACTTCTTCCTATGATCTCTCCCTCCCTCTCGCTTTTAGAGAGACTACGCAAGATCAGTCAATTTTAAAGTTTGGAAATTGACTTGCGTGAATTGGTTCTCTAAGTCATTTTCGGGCCATTAGTGAAAATTATTTCACCATAAAACATTTTCCTTGTTTTAATATGCAACCAAACACTGGAAAATACCGAAAACATTTTTCAAAAATATTTTACTTTAACATATTCACGATTCGCCCTTGGTTCCACTTTGTCCTTTACATCTCTCCTCTTATCAGGAAACAAATGGAGCCTAAAATGAAAAGAAACCGGGTAAGATGGTGTGGTCATGTACAACGAAAACCAAATACAACACCATGATAAGAAATGAAACAGCCCACATTGGTGCTAACGTTGGCTGATGAGCATGACCAAAATGAACATGGATTGGGTACACAAGTTTCTGAAATCCAGCACTGGGCAATTTCAGCAGGGTGTACTGATGTGGTCTTCAGGGTGTATCTGTTCACCTTGCGTTGTTTTCTCTAAAATGTTTCAAATCATATTTCAACTCTGAAATAAAGCCTCAAACCTCAATTAATGGACTTCAAAACTTAGTTCACAGATACTTATCAAAAAAAAAAAAAAAAAAAACTTAGTTCACAGATGGTCCAGCTATCTATCTATTAACCAAGCTAGATCATAGATCCTCAAATGTCTCTACTCTCTACTTACCTTTACCTAAAGTGTGATGGGATTTCATGAAGCAAAGGATCTTTCGGTAATTCCAACTTCAACTCCCAGTCTTCAACATATCTTCAACCAATCTTTGGCAAGTGACCTACGTTGACTTACAAAGGACTTTTGATCAACTCATTACAACTCTTAATTTGTTAATGAAATTTGTGAAAGCAATAAAACTTTGTCTTTACATAAGCATGTCATCATAATTAGACCTCATGCATACAATTCGCACATCGTGTACATATTACTCTCACTCTTTCCTAGAGTAGCCAATATGTCTCTCCTGTCCCAAGACCAACCCAAAAGTAAAGAGACACCTCAACTTGCTCCCAACTTTAGCCATCAGACCAAGTTCAAGAGGATATCCCAAAGCTAGTGACATGGGGCCGGTCCATGCCTCTTAAATGCAACAGAGTCCCTGAGGTGGGGTCTTTAAGGCCGCACCTTAAACTCGAGGCAGGGATGGAGCATTGGGTGATTGCCATCCATGCATCATATAACCGGACGCAGAGTTCAGAAGCCTCTTGGTCCGTTCTTCCTTGGAACCTGGGTGCCGAGCGGATGTGATGCCATGCAACATGGGACTAACAAGGCACAGGGGCATTAATCCACATATTGGTCAATGTCATTGAATTTCCACTGCAACACTCATGGGACAAACATGGCAGAGGGAGATTAATCCAGATATTGGTCAATGTCATTGAATTTCCATGTCAGCAAAAGAGATTCTTTGGAGCCACAACAATTTTACGTAATCAAGCCTAAGGCGAACTAACAAACTATATATATAATATCAATATAATTGGTATTAAAAATGAAGAAATAAAGAAGATTAACATCCAGTAGTCAGGAACAATCATGATATCCTACAAAAGAAGAAGAAAGAAATTCTACCCATAGTAAGCAGGAAATATAGCAAAAGAAATTCTAGCTATAGTAAGCCAGAAATATAGCAAAATGGCCCTCTTGCAATGCTTTATAATTGACGTTTTTTAATATTAAAATAAACATAATATTACCATTAAAATGAATATGTAGTGCCATAGGAAGACTGAATAAGCTCATAAAAGAATGTATGTACAAGAATTTGGATATTTTATCCAAGATAATATGGAACAAAGATGGCTAAGATGGTCTAGTCTTGTGTAAGAAAGAGAAACTACAATGTGCAAGAAAATTAAATTTTATCAAAGGTAATAATAGGGGAAAAAGATGGCTGAGGTGGCTCAGTCACATGCAAGAAAGACAAATTGCTAGCCTAATAAAGGGCAATATGGTTCAAGTTGAAACCACTGCAAGGACAATGGGAGGCAGTAAAGAATGTAAGTTGTGGTAGTGAGAAGAAACAGAAGCCAAAGATTCAAACAGCAAATATCACACTAGACAGAACACAACAATGAATAATTGACTAAGTAAAGGTTCTATGAAATAAACACAAAATTTGACATGAGGTATTATAAAATGGTTTTATTTTGTATCACCCTGGATGCAAAAACAAAAAGCACACAAAAATAATTTGCATAGAGCGTAACCAAAATAATTAAGTATGCACTTTCCACAGTGTACCAGCTACCAAGTAAATTACAAAAAGAACAAACAGGGGTGATTAGACAGACATGTAAAATTCATTGAATTATTTTCAATCCACATAACGATTTGGTAAAAGCTCAAGGTATACCCAGAAAAAATGTATGACTTACAGATCTGCCAAAGGAACCATCCCAAATCCATGGTAATCATCTATCTCAAAAGAGCGAGAAGCAATAAGACTTCTTGCAGCAAAGTATTGTTCAATGCCGAAAAAATCTGGATTCAGCTCTAAAGGAGCTGAAGCCAAAAGAGGCAGTATGCACTCTTTCCAGTCTTCACAGATGAGGGCCTTGTCTTCTTCAACAATCTGCCTACCAATGTATCAGAATGATCAACAGAATAAAATTATCATGATCAGAACAGTTCACCCCATATAACTTAAAAGTTTCAGTCGCAAAATATTATATAAGTTAGAAATCACAAAAATGTTGACACCAAACTCCAATGAAGAATTAGGATTGTAACTTCAGGTTCTGATAGTCAAAGTAAGCATAAGGCCTAAACTAGACCTAGAAGTTAAATAGGTATTGAACACAAATTAACTTACTTTCACATAAATTCAAAAATTTAAACTAAAAGGGGCAAACCCAGTGCACGATGCTCCTGCCATTGCCGGGACTAGGGAGAGTTAGATGTACGTAGCCGTAACTCCGCATGCGGAAAGGTTGTTTCCTTAGAAATTAAAAAATTTAACCTACCACTCAAATTTCAACTAACAATATAAACATGTAAAAAACATGATGTTCCAAATATAAAGCATATAAACGTAAAAACATCCACACGCATATAAACGTAAGAACGCGTGATTTTTACATAGAAAATCTTATTGAGGAAAAATCACCGGACCTAGTTCAGGATGATGAAATCTACTTCGTAGAAAATGAATTCCACACTAAGTTAACAAGACTGTAACCCAAAATCCCCTAGTTACCTCTGACCTGGACCTGCAATAGATGCTCCACTCAAGCTATTGTTGCTATCGATTTGTTAGAATCAATACGGTTGTGTATACTTAAGATTTTTTAGAAAACTTGGGGTGTTTAAATAGACCTTAGAATCGAAAAAGATTAGGGTTAAGAGTTTTTGAAACCTCAATGCAAATCCCTTTTCTGCAGATTTCGCTCAATTTAGTTGACTGAGTTTCAATTATTTTTATTTTTATTTTGCATTATACTAGCACTAATTTAGATAATATTTTGATCTAACCAACTTTTAGAACTCACACTGGAGCTAATCAATTTGCCAAAAAAAAAAAAGAAGTGCAGACAGAAAATAAAATCAGCTGAAATTAAAGTGAGCCGAATATATGGAATTTTGCCCAAAAATTATATTGCAGCATGAGATGATTGTTTTGCAAAGATTTCCACACACACACACACACACACACACACACACATATATATATATATATATATATATATGTATGAATCTCAAATGAAAAAATTAAACAATCATACTATCACCTAAAGAAATTAATATTACACAAGTGGATATGTGGGTGTGTGTCTGCTTAATTTGTAAAAGAAACCCATTCATTACTGTGGGATTTGGGAACAAAAGTGAAAAAAAGTAATAATAATCATACCTTGTGGAGCTCAGTCCCAGACAAGAGAGAGTCAATTTGTTCTAGAGTCCAAAGCAAGGGTGTGCAGTACTCGGAGTGAGGCAAGAGCTGAAGATACCCAAACCAAGGAGAGTCCTCCCCCAGCGACTTCTCATACATGAGGGCGACAGAGAGACCCAAGAGCCCGTCGAGACCGGCGGCTTCGATCAGGTGGCTAGCGCGTGAGGTCTTGATGGTGAGACACGACTGCTTTGGTATGGTCGCCACCAAGTCCTCTTCGTGTAAATCGCAGACTGCTCTCACACAGATGCTTCCTCCTCCTTCCTCTAATTCTTCATCGTATTCGTCTACCAACTCCAATGCGTCGCTGCAATCTATGCATTGCCATCTCATCCACCGCTTGAATGCTCTCATTCGCCTGTACGTTGTTCATCATTAACAATCAGAATTAGTCTGTGTGTGTTTTGTGTGTGCATCTATATGTGTCACCGAGAAAGAGGGATCGAGAGAGCTGTAAGCCTATACCTTGCGGCCATTTCCGTTCTGTAACAACGCCGCCGAGCAACGGTGGACCAGGCAGAGCGGTCTCAACTCTGAGTGTTTGTATAAATATTTTATTTTATTTTATTTTCCCTTCAGCCCCTTTCTTTCTCTGTCCGTACCTCTCTCTCATCTCGTTATTTTTCATTCTCCTCAATCTTTTTTAATAATTACATTGGTGTCCCATCAATATGACGTTGAAAAGAAAAGAAATGCACGTCAAAATTGTTAGAAGGCCACGGTACGATTTGGTGAGTCTTAGGCTCTTAGCTTGTCCCCCATCCAATTCATTTGAGAAAGTATAACAGTCGGACTCAGTCTTTGATTTGATATTGTTGGTAAAATATATACTTCAAATGACATTTAATATATAATTAACTTTATGCTAATATGTTATGAGATAATTAATAATATGCTAAATATAATTAATTAAATATTTAACTCGATATTTAATTAAACATGTAAATTAAAATAATAAAATAATAATAAATAAATAAAGAACCTGAATCGAGGCTAATATTAAATATTATGTCCTTAAGATAAATTCGATTCGTTATGGTGCTAACGGACTCAGTGACGTCTATCTCCCATAATATATCGGTCTACATCCACCAGTAACAGCACTACAAACTAATGGATACGGCGAACCTCCTTTGTATAATACTCTCTCTAACTCAAAATACATCTATACTATATAAATGTTGAATTGGGTGCAATCCGAACCAAATAGTTCAGACCAATCTTAATATGGCTCGATGAAATTGAATTAGGGTCTAAGTGGCTCGGACTACTTGATCTATGGTTTGAACTCACTTGGGTTGGGTTCAAGTCTAGAGAGGGAAAAAGAAGAAAAATGAATTGAACTATTTGCAAATGGCAGCCCAAGGGGATATTTATAGAAATAGAGGTGCCTTTTCGGATTGTGTGTATCTCTTCATCTCTGGACACAATCATTTATATGTGTCTCTTCATCATTGGACACAACCATTTATATGTGTCTCTTCACATTAGACACAACCATTGCAATAAGTTGCAAAGGTTCACATTGAATAGGTTATCTTTCTTGGTTTTGAGTTACATCTTTTCATCCCACAACCAACCAGTGATCACACCTGTTCAGTCAAAGGCATCTATTGATTACTGATGAAACATTTTTCATTCAAAATTCTAACAATCCCCCACATGAATGAAAATTGGCTACTTAAATGTAAAAGATGATCATGCAGACACTAGATAGAGTATAGTCGGAAAGTTACTACATCGGGATAGGTAGCTTTTGGCCTGGAACCTTCCCTAGTGTATTACTATCAGATTTACTAGCTAACCAGTGAACGTGATGTTTTGAACTGTTCTATGAGGTTCCGAATTTTCACAACTCGAATATGTCAATGTGACCCGAAAGTTAATCCGATAACGGATCCGGAATGCGGAAGCAAAAATAAAACACAAAGTAGGTGAAATGAAAATAAATACAGAAGCAAAACGGTGAAAATAGACCAAGTATGCCCCCAAGGGTAGATGGTCATTTCACATGCAAACAAAGTCTTAAGAGATGTACGTCATCCCTAAGACACAAACATGGCTTCCCATGAAGCTACGAAACTTAAAAGAAAACAAAATAAATTGCGGAAGCGAAGTTTTAAAAATGGACAAGCTTAGCCCTAGGGGCAAAATCATAATTTTCAAAAAGTTATGGGTGCTATCGAGCATACCATTAGATAGACAGCGAAAAATTAACGAAATTAGACTCAAAAATCACCTAATTCGGAGACCGGCCGGAGGAGAACAGGTGAAAACAAAAATGGGCGTCGCCGCGGCTAAGGGGCACTAGGGCCAAGCCCCATGCGATCGCGCGCCTCTGTGGGCGCGTGCGCTGAAGTTAACACCTAGGCACATGCTTTGAAAAATCTGAAAATAGTGGGCTTTTTGGACCCCGAAACGACCTTTTTTGGAAAAACACGAAAAAGAAACCCCCTTTAAAATAATTTTTCTAAGCTGACCTTGTCGAAACAAAAATTTATTTTTGACTTGAAATGCCCAAAATACCCCTGAGATCAGTTTTGAAGAAAGATATCACAATACAAGTTTGCTTCAAGTGTTCAAATGACTAAATATGAAGTTGTGACCTAAAATAATTGTGCACGCAAGCGTAATAAGTGTTTTAAAACATGCGGGAATGGTCCACGACCCCCAATTATGCCCAATGCAAAAGCTGGCCTATCAAACCTCAAAAATACCTTAAAATGGGAAATTTGAAGCCCACCATCGAACATAACATGCAACCATGATAATTTATGCAATGTGAACATTCTAGCAAGTGTAATAAATATAATAAAATGCGTTCCAATGGCCTATGGCCTCAAAATACTCCAAATGCAAAATATGACATACTTGAACTCCAAATTCATGAAAAATACCATTTTTAAGCACTTTGTGAAGTAAATCATCATAGATGCATTCAAAAGACCGTTTGGCCCTTGGCAACACGTCACATATGATATAAGAACACTATAAAAAAAAAAATGATAAAACGCATTTCCCACCATCCAAGCTAAAAATGACATGCTAAAGCTTTTCATTTTTCTATTTTTCACATAATTAAGCATAAGTTCAAGTTGCAGGAAAGTAAAGCATACGGTCATTGGCCCTTGGCCCCATCACATACATGTCAAATAAGTCTCAATGGATGTCTTAAGACACTTATTAGATATTCTAAATAGAAATTTCAAGTCTTGACATAATAAACCCAAAATAAAGTAATATCATGCTAGTAAGTGCATGAATGAAAATACTCCAATCTCATCAAGCCACAAGCAAACTCAAGGATATTGTACATCCCTAAAACATGGTTCTTTACCTAAAAAATGTCCCAAACAACGAGGGTGAGTAAACAAGTTACTCGTAGGAAATGAACATGCGTATAAACTAAAGTTTTGCAAGTCTTTATAAGTTGATATAAATCAATCCATGTGGTTCATGCCACTTAACGTCTATGTCCAAGGTGAGACTAAGGAATCATCCTAAGCTACATTAGAACATCCACATCATAAACCATAATATATAAGCAATTACACAACATTGTAACATTAAATGCCAAATAACAAAATATAAATTCACAAATTACACAACTTGGAATTTAAAGTGCAAAATCAAACAAACGGAAGCTTAGATGTCACACCGGAATAAAACCGACACCAAGCATCATTTGGGTTACTAGCCCGTGGGTGTTTGCCCCTAGGTGCGCACTAAAAATAGAGGGCTCTCAAATCCCCTGTACTAGAGTCGAGCCCTAGCCATAGTCAATCTCACGACATCCCCAAGCTTCCAAAATCAGCAAATAGTGCACAACAACTATATACACATATACTAAATGCACTTAATCAAATATCATACACAATCAAATTGTGAAAACACATAAGACATGTTCTAGGTCCTCAACTACCATGGTATGTAACATAATATGTTTTAAAAATATCAAAGGTGCAAATAAATCATAATTTCATTAAATGGAAACTAATTAAATAAAAATTAATTAATTAATCTAGATAGCAAAACATAACCAAATGACATGAAATTAACACATAATGAGCAACATACTATGAATAACTCAAATATCAAGTCAAAAGTCTAATTAAGTCATTAAAACACTTCGTTAATTTTTTTAATTAACTTAATAAATTAAAAATCTCTAAATTTCAAAAGTCATCCAAAAATTTCAAAAATAATATATGATAAATAACAAGTCATGGGCTCTCCAAATATCATATTATTAATTAAATCTAAGCATGCTTCAGCTATGAAATTAAATCATCATTTAATTAAAATAAAAACCATTTCTAGATCTAAACTTTAAACATGCATACAAGTTATAAAAACCTCAAAAACATGTAAAACAATAAGATTATAAACATAAAACACCCCCTACCTCACTTTGAGATGAAATCTCAAATCCCACCAAAATCAAACTCCACAAGATGCTATAGAACTTCGGGGTTTTGACGGGGACAATAAGGAAAGCAAGAAATCCTCAAGAGACAAGACCCAAATCCATGCTTGAACTCCCAACCCAAAGTCAAAGTGCTACAAATCGAAAACCGATCGGATAGAAATCACCGCGTCGTCGAGGACATCAAAAAAGTCTAAACCGCGAAGAGGTAAATCAAAGAGGAAATAGATGAAAAGAGGAGAGAGAAAGAGGCAGCCTCCAAGCTCCTTAAATGGCAGCTGGGTCTGCTTTTACATGGAAGAAAAAGGTAAATAACTATCTCTCTCATCCACCTACCCTAAATAAGTCAAAAAGGGGGTTCCGAACGGGCCCCGTCCAGGTCTAAAATGTAAAATATGTGAAGATGTGCTCAAATGTAGATGGTCCATGAACAAAAAAGTTTAAAATGGAATTATAAGGTTAATGGAAGAAACGGGATAAAAAATTGAGTCCCGAGCGAGAAGATATGCCCCGGATAAGATTGACGACTAACGGGGTTCGAAAATTAAAAATAAATGAAATACAAAAATAAAAAAAAAAAAAAATTCAGAAGTGCCAGAGTCAATAAAAAGTGAAAATAAACCCCTCAAGAAAGTTTGAACCCAAAACGAGAAACTTTTACGAAAACTTTCCATAATTACACAAATGCCCCCCACTGAATAACTCAAAAAGTGAACTTATCAGAAAGCCCAAAATGAAGTGCCATTCAAAAGATACATTTAAAGGAACCTTAAATACAAAATTTCATCAAAATATAATTACGAAAAACACCCCAAGTAAAGAAAATAATTTTCAAGAATCTTCACATTTATACCTCTACGGGCAAAAATAAACATCTAGCATGCTTTTCTACAAAAAATCAAAACGTGGATCACATAGAAATCAAGTAAAATGAATGCATGCAAGGTCAGAATCAAATCCGAGCACGACCCAATAGGTTACGCAAAATGAAAAGATAGTGAAAAAGTGACAGAAAAAGAAAACTCGGAAAAAGTTGGGAAGAAAAATGGCAGGGTCATTATAACCTCCCTTCCTTAAAAAGGGATTTCGTCCTTGAAATCAAGTTGTACTTGAAGGTGAAAACAAACTGGGATACCGA